TAAAAAAAAAAAAGAAATACCATTTTGCTTTCGCTCGCATAAGAAAGAATATCAAATATTTTTCTTTTTTAAATTTAATAAGCCACAATAAAGAAAGAACGTTACAATGCTACACTGAAGACATTTCCAGCAGAGCAACTGAATGACTGTTCAAATAGAAATCGCGGGAATTCGTCTCATACAATAACGCCCCCTATAGGTCGTTGCGATCGCGAATTTTTTTCAACCAACTTAAATATTTTTAAAAATCGTTTGCCTCGAAATATTACAAATTTTGGTCTCTAGTCGATTTCGAATTCACTAATTTAGGTTATCTTGCTTTTTTAGAATCAATTCATATTGAATGATCAGAATGAATGGAATTAAACGGTAAGGTATTATTTTTCATTGAATTTCTTTCTAATTATATTTTTCTGCCAAATCCTAATTTTTTCATCATCTTAACTTACTTTCAAATTCTTTTCCATTACATGAATTGAAGTTTGAAAACCTTTCGTGATAAAAGATGAATAAATCATTATAATAATTTTTAGATAAAGAGTTTAATTAATATATATATATAATATATACTATGTATATATTGTGTGATATGTACCTAGGTTGCAAAATAAATTTTTCATTAAATTTATCTATAATTATATTTTTAAAGAAAAAAATTATTAATGATGAGTTAAATAATGTATGGATATTTTTCTTTTAATGTCATTATCATATAATTTATAATCGAATTTATTTTTCGATTTTTGAGTTTTCAGACAATGGTATTTAGAATAGTGTTTCATTTTCAATTTGATTACTAGCTTAAAAAATTGAAATTTTTAACTTTCTATTTACTGTATAAATTCTGCTTCAAAAATTTACGTGACTTAATAAAATATTTTTTTTATATTTTTCTACAAATTATTTTTTTTTTCAATTATAATTAATGTTAATTATTTGTTTTTGAAGGAAGCAGTAAATGGTTTGATACGATTACAGTTTTCAATAATGAAATATAAGGTAAAGCAATGCAAATTTTGGTTTGCATAGTTTTCTTATTAGAAATTCTTGACTTTTGCTATTGATTGAAATAAATTGTTTATGATTAATAATTCTAAATAATTATTCATAATTTTGTAATATTCTCAATGAATTTATATCTGACTTTTCGCTTTTCCCAATAACGGCACATAATAATAAAACTCATGCAATAATTAAAACTATTTTCAAAATTAAAAACAAATTGAAACATAAAAATATAATTTTTATATTAGATTATTTTTTATATAAATATTATTTTTTAATATAAATGTAATTAGTAAATATAATTAATATATATTTCATACTTTCTTAATAAAATTCAGAGGTACTTTTTAAATAAAATAAAGCTTTCGAAAGACGTGAGGAAGAAATTCGGTGGTAATAGCAGTTAATTGCTAAAGTGATGCTCCCTGTCATTTCCTGATAGTTTTAAATAAATACAGAAATAATTTTTTTTATTTTTCAGTTCCTGATTTATTCAAGTTAGCGTTTTGGAGCTTTAGGGGACCAAATTCTTTTAGCAATATTGAAAGACAGTTTAACCTTGTATTAGTAACAGTAGTAGTCTTTTACCTTTTGTGAGAAAACTTTTTAACTCAAAACTCACATGGATGGTTGTGATTCTGTGTGTTGCCTTAAATTGTCTTTTAAACTACTTTTTTTCTAAATAAAAGCTAAAAAAATATTGTTTTGTATGGTATGCTCTTGTATTTTGCCTTAAATGGATCGATAAACTCTGTGAAAAAAACTTTATATCGCAGGAGAAAAAAGTTGTGCTTCTCTGTTGTAAAATAGCTTTCTGTTACATAAATTGTAGAAACCTGTATTTAAAAAGCAATAAGTATGATGCCATTTTTGCTGCTTTTCTATTTATGAAATATACAGTATTATGAAATAAAAACAAAATTCTATTAAAAAAGAAACTACTTCATTTAAAAAAAATATAAAAATGTTTATTAACAAATGATAAACACTCTATACATGTGATAAAATTTCTTCTTGTTTACACATAATACTTCTTGTTTACATATAAGCAATATTCAGTTTTCAACACTATACATATTCATAAGATAAAAAAAGGGAAAAAACTATCATTGCATCGAATTTTAGTATTATTGAATGTTTAAGAAATCAAATATTTCGAAGCATAGTACAAAACTATATTTTAATAGTTAATTTATAACATTTCTTAAATTTTCACCATTGTTCGAAGAAAATCAACTATGTTTGAACCCTACTACACCACAAATTAATAATAATAAAAATAAAATTTGTAATTTTAATAATGATAAAATTTGCTCTTGAATTTATATAAAAAATTCGTTATTTATTATAAATACAATATTCGTTCCTGATTATCCGTATGATAAGATTGGTTCTATGTTAAGAAAAAGAAAGTTCTATGTTAAGAAGTTCTATGCTAAGTAAAGGAATATTTTTTGTTACTATTTTCATTGTTTTTTAAGCATTGTAATAATAAGGAAAGGGAAAAAAACACTCCCCGGGCTTTAAATTTCATTATGTATATGTAAAATATGTAAAAGATTAATATTCTGAAGCATTGTAATAAATTAAGAACTAATTACTTAATAGTTAAGTTATTAAATTTCTTGAATTCTTCAGTATTCGAAGAAAAACAATTACCATCACAATTTATTTTTAGTTCATCATATTCTTTCCAATTATTCTATGATTGAAGAAAAACTGTAGTCGATTTTTTTTTATTTAATTCATTAATTTTTTAAGATGATATTTCCTTCTCTTTTTATTTTCTCTTTCTTTTCCAGCTAAAAAAATTACTAACGTTATAACAATTAAAAAAAAAATGTTTCTTAATTTTGGTTTTCGATTGTATTTTTTTAATAAACAAACTACTTTCATTATAATTTAGACTATTTTAATACATTTTTGAATAAGCTAACAGAATTTACATAATAACAAATCAATAACCGTCTTAAAATCTTATTTAGCTAACCTACCGGTAAACAACAGTAGTTAAATAATCATAATAAATGTAAGTTTATGACCATGCTATTGAAAAAAAAAATCCTTCAACCAAATGGGATTAAAAAACAACCTTCGTTAAGCCAATAAACTAATACTTTTTAACTGTGACCGGGATTAAAAGGATTTATAAATTATAAAGAAACTAAATATCTATAAATATTAAAAGAAAATAATATAAATATAGTTATTGTTTTTTTTAACACTCTCACAATACTTCTATAAAAACTTTTATAAAAGTTGTTCCTGTATCAGATTTAGTACAGTAATACCAAAAAATAAGAATGTTTTGTCATAATTTAATAAATAGCTTCTGATAGTTTAAATAACGTATAAAAAATATAAAAGCTTCAGAATTTATCTGGGTAAATACTACCTCCCATTTAGTTGATTGTTAAGAGATTCCTATTTCCACCTTTTTTTGTAAAAATTTATAATGCTTGCAATATTAGGGAAAGTAACTTTGAATGCATTTAAAAAGTTTTCAATACAAAATACGTGCATGGAAATCTGAAATCATTTACTCATGAAATCTGTAAAATCTCGTGCTTTACTGTAAGTTTTGTGAGGAAAAGAATCAATAAACAACATTTATATAATTAAAAAAATGTTATTTATTTGTGTAAATTTTTTATATTTTAATTTAAATTAGTATTATTATGCAGATTAAGTGTAAATTTAAAAAAAAATCCTTTTTTAATGCACGATTTAATTATTTTCAATATTTATTCACTTTGAAAAAAAAAAAAGTTGAAATGGTGGGGTTATTTTATTATTCCCAAACTTTATCCGTTACTTAAACTCCTAATTTTTTATACTTTCTATGTAAAAACTTTTAATAATATTTTTGAATCTTGTTGAATTTTACACAATCAAGAACAATCCCATCATAAAATTATTTATAGTATTTTTAATTTTTGTAGAATTTCTAATCGTTTTCGGGGTAATTTCAACTACATAATCAACAACAATCGTATATTATACTAACAAAATGGAAGCTTTGCATTACGAATACTTGTCACACTAAAATTTCGTGTTAGAAGTACGCTACAGCTTATTACAAACACTTTGTGCTTCAAGATACGCATATCTCGAAAGCTTCTTATGTATTGAGTATTTGTTTAAAGCACTTTGCATCATAAGTATTTGTCAAAAGAATCTGTGGTTAAAAATTACAAATAATTCATTCAATAGAACTTTGTGTTATGAGAAATCATCCAAAGTATCTTGCGTTAAAAGTATTCATTTAAAAGCACCTTGCATCATGAGTATTTGTCAGCACCCACCTGAGGTTATACACCCTTGTGCAAATTAATTGAAACAAACTTTTTTTTTCGTGTTTTTTAAAGAAGATGTTTTGGGGTTGTTTCGGTTATAATGGGGTTGGACCTTTGCAGCCTACTGACGGTAAGATGCGTTCTGAGCAGTACATTACTATTCTGGGTAAAAAAGTTGTTCCAGAGTTGAAGAAACGATACCCTGATGGAACAGGGATTTTTCAACAGGATTTAGCTCCTTGCCTTACGTCCAAAATTGTCAAGAAATTCATGTCTGAGAATCAAATTGAGACATTGGTATGGCCAGGTAACTCTCCGGATATCAACCCAATTGAGAATCTCTGGGCCATATGCAAGAATCGCCTATTAAATATGGACTGTACAACATGGAGAAGCTGATCACGGCGTTAATTCATGTGTGATACAAGGACACAGATATTATAAATGACTGTAAAAAATTAGTGGAATCCATGCCGAATCATGTCCAAATGTTAATAAAGTGTCGTGGAGATCATATTATGTACGAAAAATTTTTGAGTTTGTATAAATTTAAATAAAAAAGCATTTTCTCTTAGTTTTCTGAATTTATTGAGTTTGTTTCAATTAATTTGCACAAGGGTGTAAGTTACAAGTAACTTTTCAATAACACCTCGTGTTGTGAGAAATTTTCCAGAGCACCTTGGGTTGAAAGTATAATACTTATTTAAAAGCACTTTATATTAAAAACACTTGAATAAATTAAAGATAAAAAGCACCTTGGGCAAACGGTATTTGTCAAATGTACCTTGTATCGCTTGCCAAAAACACATAAGTTAGTAAATACTTATCGAAAAGAACCCCTAGCAACAATTTTATCTTGGCCTCAGTTGGGTGTAAAATTGGCTCAATATAGGTCCTATAAGAACATGCACCAAGGGACCAATACTGGGATGCCTGGATTCTTTAAAATTGGTTCTAGAATTGCCTATATAGGGTGCATATATTGGCCGATATCGAACCTACATTGCCTAAATAATGGATATAAAATATCGGGTGGAGCTGGCAATTCTATATAAGCCCAATATTGGAAAAATAACGGCTCTTTGAAACTTTATTCACCCAAGATTCGTGAATATAGGCCCAATGAGAGCCCAAGTTATTTTGCTGCTAGGGACATCTCGCTGCGAGCACTCCTCAAAGCTCGGAATATTTCAGTTTAAAAGCCACTCTCTGGACTGTCTTCATCTTCGCTTTTTTGAATGTCTTTTTGTACTATGAAAGCAGTAAAGGGGAAATTTCTAGATGGACAGTTTAAATCATCTGCTTGTATAAAACACGAATCACTCACACCTGTTGGATGATATGCTCGAATGAGACCATCCAGATCGAATTTGTAAGAGAATCGTTTACCGTTCACTTTGCTCATGATCTGTTTGTCATAGTAATAGCGAAGGGAACGACTCAGTTTTTCGTAAGTCATGCCTTTTTTCTTTTTCTTTTGTCCCCACATTTTTGCCACATCATCTGGAAGCTTGAGTTTAAAAGTACCGTCCACACCTTCCCATTCGATTTTATCAGAATGTTCTTGTTTGGAAAGGAGCTCCAACAGGAATTGCCATAATGGAGTTTGTCCACCATCTGTAGAAAAAAAAAAGTTTAAATCTTCAGAGTAAAAAAGTTTAAATCTTCAGTTTGTATAAAACACTAACTTGAATCTTGTGAATCTTTTAATATTGAATTTTAGGAAGATTAAAGAATGCTATAATAGAATTAAGAAAAAAAAATAGTTTCGAAAAAATTTTGCTATATTGAGCTGTGTTTAAAAAATTGTTAAGAAAATTTGCCTCAAGAAAATGTTACAGCGTTTAAAGTAATAAAGATGAGTTTTTTTCATGAAAAAACTTACTTTTATTAAAAGTATTTTTGAATTGAACCATGTGCCATTTAATATACAATGATTGATAATTATCCACCGAAGATCAGCTTACAAAAAATACGAATAAATTATTCTAGGAACAAAAGGGCTTACTGATCAAGAATCTCCAAAAATAGTCTTTAATAATAATAATAATAATAATAGTTATCATAATAAAGACTACAATTAATGCGTTTACTACTCTTTTTACAAAAAATAGTTTTTTAACATTTAGAAGAAATATGTATGCTTAAAATCAGCATAAAACAGAGTAATAAGCAATTTAATTGTTGGGTACTTTTAGATGTTTAAAAAGATCCTTATTACACACAACTACAAAATCATACTTTTAGGAATAAAAGAAAGTTACAGATTAAATAGTAAGTTAAATTACTTTGACACTTAAAAAAAAAAAAGCATTTACTAATATATTTAGAAAAAAACAACATTGTTTATTTATTTCTCTACACATTTGTAAAGACGAGTCACTAGTTTGAACTTCACGGTATTGCAATAAACAAAATGTAAAATCGCATAAAAACACCAAACCAGTTAAACTAAAACTTTCGGAATCTTAGGTATCATATAATTCCTATAGCACTGAGTAAATAATAAGCTTTAGGATTGTCAGCAATTTAAAGTATTTTGAAGAGTTATCCTATTTCTAAGGATTCACACCTCACCACACCTTTCTTCTCGATTTTCCCGTCTTGGAATTTGCTAAAATGTTTGGCCTTCCTCAGAGTTATGTTTATGGGGTACTTGGTTGAAAATTAATCAACCAAACTTTTGATTCAAGAATGTTTTGAATTTGTAAATTCCACTCGTGAAAGTTACTTTTGCCTTTTCTTGCGGCTTTACATTTTTGAAAAAATATCCTTTGAAATTCTCAAAATTACTAAGCACTATTTCTTCTTAACAAATAAAGTTGACTTTTTAAATTTTTTTTTTTAGTATTTTTTTAAAGGTATAGTGCTTTTAAATTATGCTCTATCATTCAAAATTATTAAAATAAAAGAAAAAAAAAACAGATATCTTCAATAGAGTTGTAACAAATGTGTATAAATTTTAATGCAATATATTAATAGTTTCTTTAACTAGAACAGTGTTATGATAACTTTGATCAGTACATTTATTTTTCGACAACGTTCACAACTATTTCATGTTAAAAAAAATCTCTTAACAGACTAAGTCAGACGTTATACATATTCATCGCATTTTCTTGAATGTGTTTAATTATACTTCAAATAATTAATAACATATAATTAAATAAATTAACCATTTTCTGAAAAAGTTTTAAACGGTTTTCATATTCCGTACATCGTTCGAAAAAAAAAATTCGTATCTTAACACCAATTTTACATTAAAGTGCGTAACTTAACATCTACTTTACATTAAAATAGTGTAGAACCAAAAACAGATCCTGGCGTAACGAAACACTAAGAATTTCTCACAGGATAGAGCTCTAGCCACCCAATGTGGTGATCCGGGTTTGAATCCCAGGAATTGCTGGTCGATACGAATTCTGCACCCGGCTTGCACCGACCACAGTGCTGACATAAAATATCCTCAGTGGTAGACGGATAATGGATTAGAGTCTCCTTGCCTTCAGACTAATCGCGGGAGGTTTTCGTTGTTCGAAATTTCTCCCAAATACTTGATCTAGTTCCCTTGTTTTCTGGATTGGGTTCAAAATTACAAGGATACTGAATTGAATAGTAATTGTCGTAAACCCAAAATCGGGTCGGCTATTCAACGACGGTTATAAAAAATAAAATTAAAAAAAAAATTATAACCTTTAAATTGTAAATGAAAGCTCGATTTGGTGTTAACTTGGAAAAAAAAAGTCTTCCTTCACCAATTTTTTGAATTGTTCAATATTAAATTCTGAAGAATAGTACACCACAAATTTTACGAGGTGCTTTAAAAAATAATAGTAATTACTCTAACATAGAATTTGTATCAACATCAACCGTGTTAATACCCTTTAACATTTATGATGATTAGAATTTTCATACCTGATAAAAGCGTTTCCCTTAAAAGTTTGAAGAACTTTTAAAAAATTATTTAGCATGAGCTTCTGAAAGAATTTTTTACTTGATAACTGATAATTATGTTTTAAATTTGATAATGATTGTAAATATTAATTATTAATGATGAATTTCAATCATTTATTGAATCTTTAATATGCAATCGTTAGTTTTTAATGTAACCTTTTATAATATATCTTTTATAATCTTCTATAATCTTTTATAATATCAAGAATTGAAGTCAACATTTGTAAATTTCGATTACAAACCCTGTAAACTTCAGAATTTCTTGTTTTAAATATATAAGTTAAACTTCATAATACTTACTATCATTCTTTGCTTTTTTCTTTTCTGTCACAAATCGTTGCAAAATTCGATCTTTTATGGTACTTAAATTTTCATCCTTTCTTCTATCTTTTATGGTATCTAGAAAGAATAATTTTATTTCAGTGATTAAAATATTTAATATTCTTAGAGAATCATTGAATTAGAATATACCTAAAATAATGAAATCTGTTCCTGCCAAATACTCAAAAATTTATATTTTACAGAAGAAGTCAATAAAAGAACATGTAGTATAAAATTATATTTTATCTACATTATAATATAAAATTTTATGGGTATAACATTTAAAATAAGAAATAAATTATTTTTATAATTTATCACTAAAATGATATTGAATAATTTTTTCATGTAAAAAAAAGCTATTACATAGCCTAACGACATTAATTTTAGTTTAATTCATCGCAAATTCTCAGTATGTATATAACTTGAATTCTTTAAAGATCGTAAAGTCTAATGAAAATAAAACTGAACTATAGCTTAAATAAATCGAAAGATGAATATCATTATAGTTATAGAAATTTATAGATAAAAAAAATAATTGAGCTTCTTCAAAGAAGCTTTTAATAGGAGATTAGTAAAATGGGTATTTTTTAGGTAAAAATATCTTAAACTCTTTAAAGTTATAAGCTTTAAAAATATGGGTGTCACTCTTCAGTTCTAGGGACTGAAATCAGTCTTGCGAAAAAATTATGAAACTAAATTTCATCAATTAATATCTCTTTTCCATTTCTTCTTTAAATTAAAATGTCCTTTTCACCTTAAAAATGCTATTTTTTTGCAAAAATTTCTATTTATTTTTCCAGTTAATTTTATACAAATATTACATTTAAATGGAAACATTGTCATTTTTCATAATTATTGCGAAGTGATGTCGCACCGTAATGAAAGAATAGGATTGATTGAACTTCAGCGCCTGCTTGCTTAAACAAAATTTGTTCTATGGTTGTATCTAAATTTGTTTGGGTTTTCATTTTTCCCTAACGTTTCAAAATGCTGACCGAAGTTAAGATTATTTAAAAAAAAAATTATAGAGATGTGACCAGAAATAAATAATGATGAAGCAAAAAAAAAAAAGAGAAAAAAGTAGACATATAAATTGTTTCATAAAAAAATAAGTAGTTTATTATCCAGTGATAGGCGCAAAAAGATCTACTAGGTTAACTATTATTTTTATCTTGTTTACTGTGAAAAAATAAATGAACAAAATGCAGAAAAAAACCAAATCATAGATTTAATATTTGTGCCATTATTATGGAAAAGTACATTTTGGAGCCAGTGAGCTATACATTTCTGAAAATTGTGGTAAACAATGCTAGATCGTGTTAATTGGTCAAAAAATAAGTTCAGTTTTGAAGTTTTTTTAGAGTGGCACTCATATATTATAACAAATGATTTTAAACAAACAAGTAATGCCTTTACTTACTTAAATGTTCTTGACTAGATAATCCATTTTCACCTGACGATTTTTCCTCGCCTCCAAATAACTCTAGAAAAGAGAAAAAAATTATAATAAAATTCATACTAAGTTATGCAAGTTTTGCGAAAAGCTTCGTAAATATGGGATTTAAGAAAAACGTCTCCTACACAAATTATTAATATTTGTCACTACATTACCCCGTCATTTCTGACTTTATTTTTGTTTTTAGGCTAAATTTTTATTTAGTTTTCTTCTTGCTTTAATATTGCTCTTGATTAAAATTTGATTGAAACGTACCATGAAACACATAACTTTAAGCAAATATAAAAATTTTCTATACACACATAATTTCTCTATTACACTGTAAAATATTCCAAATCAAATTACGGTAAAAAGAACGGGCACTCAAGGTGCCGGTACTTTTTACCGTAAAATGCATTTTTACTGGAACATGTTACAGAATAAAAAAACTGATATACCGTAATTTTTACAATAATAATTTTCTTAAAATCACTAAATCATTCTAATTACATAAATATTGATGCAAAAATTACGGTATAGTATTTTAAGATAGAAATGGATATTACTGTAAAATGGAATTTATAGATGATGCATCCATAGTATCGGTACTTTTTGCCGGAATCTTTTACAGTGTAGGAGCACACGATATTCTAAGTTTTTCTTTTAATCTTCATTCCTAAAAGTTGCAAGTAGAATTATGTAATTATTCTTTTGAAGAGGTAATATTAAATTGCTTGATTAATTTGGCTTTTTCTTATTTACGATCTTTAGAATTCCTCAAATCAAATTAAGTATTTTCCAATTAGTTTTTTGACATTTAGTGCCAACCTACAGATTATTTTTGGTAGCCGTTTTGGTTCAAGGGAAAGTGCGTTCGCTTTCCAGTAACATAAACCAGTTTCGTTTCCCAGCGAACGCGGGCTGATACGAATTCCACGCCATGTTCGCACCGACCACAGTGCGGGTGTGAAATATAATCAGTGGTAGATGGATCACGGGTTTGAGTCCCCTCGCCGTCAGGCTGAGCTCGGGAGGTTTTTGTGCTTTTCCTTTCCATGTAACGCAAATACGGGTTGGCTTCATCGAAAAGTTCTCCACGAAGACGAATTTCTCCCAGTACTTCATCCAGGAGTTCGCTCGTCTTCTGGATTGAGTTCAAAATTACAAGGCTACGGAGTTGAGCATGAGTAGTCTTTAACCCAAAATTGAGTCGGCTGTTCAACGACGGTTATAAAATAAAATTACAAAATATTTTCGAAAAATCTCAAATATAGATTTACCTTTCCATTGATGATAAAACTTCAAAATAAAAGAAATAACGAAGTGAGATTACCTCTTTTGTAAGAAAGAATATCGTCCCATAACATGTTGGCCACTTTCCAATCACCGGTGATAGTTATGAAGTCGGCCAGAGTAAGTTTATTGAGAGCAACACCATCACTGGGAATAAGATTCAAGTCTGGTTTGTAGTCGAAAAAAGTTCTGGAGAACCATTTCAACCAAAGTGACACATGTTTCTCATTCCATTCTACGAGATCTAAAAATAAAAAAAAGTAATAAATAAAAATAATTAATTAAATTAGTTATGTTTAAAAAATCTACATCAGTGGAATTATAATATTATCAAAGTTTTTAAATGTATCATCTGATTTTACATACACACATTTATTACGTACTTGTTTATTGTTCAGCTGACTTGAAGAGTTCGTTTTGAAAAATATCGTTAAAATAATTATATTTAAATCATTTCGAAATTTAGAGTTTATTGTACAATTTGATTATGAAGTGAATTTATTGAGGTATCCGGCAAGTTTCAACAACTTTTTTTTAAACATTAATATAAAAGTTCAAAACACTAGTTCATTTGTTTTATTATGTGTAAAAACACATAAAACCAGTATTATAATTACTATTATCATTATTTTTAAATGGCGATTTTTAGGTAAAAATAAGGCATTTTTTTGCATACGCACTAAACACTGTAAAATTATTTTCTTTTTATCGAATTAAGAGCAAAAAAAAAATCCTTTGGGGATTTCATTTAGAACGATATCAATTATTTTTTGAACTATTATCTTAAAAACAAGTGCATATACTATTGAGTTAGGGATCAATGTAGTTAAAAGAGTATATTTTTAAAAGTTTCCGCAATTGTCTTCGCGAAAAAACATGCATAAAAAATGAAATTATTATTTTTTCCCCAAATATATATTTCAAAGCATAGGTGCTATAATCATAAATATTCACGAAAAATTGTAGATAGTTATCTTAAAAACAACATGAGATATCGTATCTAAGGTGGTGTAAAATGTGAAGAAAAAAAATTTTGATTTTGAGATAACACATTTAAAGTCCTAAAATCATAAGTCTATCCAGTGTTGTTATCTTGTGCAAAAACTGCTATAAATTTGCAAATAATTAAAGTACAAACAAAAGTAGAGTATTTCTAGAAAGCAAAGAAAACAGGAACTCTAAATTTACAATAAACTCAATTTTAAAAATGTTACCCAAAGTCATGTTTTTGCAATGGTGATTTTGCTTTAATGATGAAAATTACCGAAATTTAGGAATTGATAATTAGAATTAAGATAAATAGTAATTAATAATAAATACATTTTAGAAAAAAATGTTTAATGGTGTAATTATTAAATGTTACCTTTACTAAAACGCCAAACTGTTTTTAATTGCTAAAAGCCATGATAGTGACTATACATTATTTATTAGTGCTATTACGTACTGTTACAATAATTTTTATTTATTTATTACTTACAATACATTTATTTATTTATTTTCGTCATAAATCTTTTGAAAACTTAAGGTTTTCTGTGAAAATTCAGGTGATACGAACTAAAGAAACCGTACCCAGATAACTAGGAAGAAAGAAAGAAAATCAACTGCAGAAATTAATAGGCAATTGAAATAAATTACCTATTGTAAAAAATACTTAAAATTAAGGTTGATTCTCATCTTTAAATATTTTTTTCAACAGCATTTAGAGTTACGAATTATAAGATATTACGCCTCTTTTTCTTGGGTTACAATATAAATTTGTGTGCATTATATAAAGTATAAAATTTTAAATCCAATTCCAAAATATTTCTAATAGCAAATGTTTATACTTTGAGAATGAATACCTTAAGCTTTATAAATAAAAAAAATATGAATTCATTTTTTAAGATTTAATTTCTTATTTTCAGTCTAAGCTTTCTATTCCTTGTATGTTGTATAATATTTTCATGCACTAAATAGATAATATTTACTATTGTTTAATAAAAATTAGAGGCATAAGTTATAAAATATCAAGATTTTTCCTGGTTATCAAAAATAAAACTTATGCGTAATTTTTCGAGTGGAAAATATTAAAACTAATTCTAAAATGTTTTTTTATAATATATTATGAATGTTTAACTATACTTTAAGAGCCATTAGCCTAAAGCTTACTTAAAAAAAAAAAAAAAAAAAAAATTATTTCTTAACCTATTCTTTCTTTACGTTTCTTTCTCTTTCGAACTTACTATTTCTAGCTCTTGTTCCACATTATTAGTTATAATAAATTAATAGAATTTCATAACTAATANTTGGTTCCCACAGGTTTCAGACTGTTCAGAATTTTACTTACCTTGGTTCAATAGTTACTGCCGACAATAACATAGACAATGAGATTCGGAGTCGTCTAATTTGTTCAAATAAAGCTTTTTATGGTTTAAAACGTTTTTTTTTTCAAATCCTCTCTTTTATCAAAAAATACAAAACTTTTACTCTATAAAACATTTATTAGGCCAATACTTACCTATGGCTTTGAGACCTGGAACCTAACTCAAGCTGGTGAAAATAAAATTGCCATTTTTGAGAGAAAAGTTTTGGGGGCCATCCTTGGTGGGATAAAAATAAATAATTCCTGGAGAAGACGATATAATACTGAACTGTATAAAATCTACAGAGAGCCAGATATTGTGAAATTCATAAAAATAAATCGAATGAACTGGGCAGATCACATTTTCAGAAGGAATGATGACTCAAATTTAAAGAAAATCCTATTACACAAACCCCTAACGAACACGAAAAGACGTAGACCCAGGCTGAGATGGCTGGATTTAGTTGAGACTGATTTCCTTACTCTAAAGGAGAAAAACTGGCGAACAAGTGTATAAGTAAAGAGAATTGGATTCGAATTCAAAGGAAGGCACTGGCCCACCCTGGGGTGTCTAGCCAGATATGATGATGATGATGTTCAACGACGGTTATAAAATAAAATTATAAAATATTTTCGAAAAATATTAAATATAGATTTACCTTTTCATTGATGACAAAATCGGAGTGAAATTAAAGCGTTACATAATGTGTACACAAAATTACTAATCAGAGGATAAAACTTCAAAATAAAGGAAATAACGAAGTGATATTACCTCTTTTGTAAGGAAGAATATCATCCCATAACATATTGGCCACTTTCCAATCACCGGTGATAGTTATGAAGTCGGTCAGGGTAAGTTTGTTGAGAGCAACACCATCACTGGGAATAAGATTCAAGTCTGGTTTGTAGTCGTAAAAAGTTCTGGAGAACCATTTCAACCAGAGTGACACATGTTTCTCATTCCATTCTACGAGATCTAAAAATGAAAAAAATAAAAATAATTAATTAAACCAGTTATGTTTAAAAAATCTACATCAGTGGAATAATAATAGTATCAAAGTTTTTAAATTTATCATCTGATTTCACATACACACAATTATTATGTACGTGTTTATTGTTCAGCTGACTTGAAGAGTTTGTTTTGAAAAATGAGAAAAATATCTTTAAAATAATTATATTTAAATGATTTAAAAATTTAGACTTTGAAGTGAATTTATTAAGGTATACGACAAGTTTCAAATTTTTTAAAAACTAGTTCATTCATTTTATTATGTGTAAAAGCATATAAAACCAGTATTATAATAATTATTATCATAATTTTTTAAATAGTGATTTTTAGGTAAAAATAAGGCATTTTTTGCGTATACACTAAACACTGTAAAAAAATCCTTTAAGAACTTCATTTAGAAGGATATCAATTATGTTTTGATCTATTATCTTAAAAACAAGTGCATATACTACTGAGTTAGGGATCAATGTATTTAAAAGAGCAAAATTTCCTCCTTTTAAAAATTTCCTCGCTCGTCTTTGCGAAAAAACATGCATAAAAAATGAAAATATTATTATTTTTTCTCGAATTCTATATTTCAAAACATGGGTGCCATAAACATAAACACTCATGAGAAATTGCAGAGAGTTATTTTAAAAACAACATTTGATATCGTTTCTAAGATGGTGTAAAATGTGAAAAAAAAAAATTTGATTTTGAGATAAACACATTTTAAGTCCTAAAATCATAAGTCTATCCAGTATTGTTACCTTGCACAAAAATTGCTATAAATTTGTAAATAATTAAAATACAAGAAAAAGTAGAGTATTTTTAGAAAGCAAAAAAAAACAGGAACTCTAAATTTACAATAAACTCAATTTCAAAAATGTTGGCCAAAATCATGTTTTTGCACTGGTGATTTTCCCTTAATGATGAAAATTACCGAAATTTAGAAATTGATCATTAGAATTAAGATAAATAATTATAATACTAAATACATGTTAGAAAAAAATGTTTCATGGTGTGTAATTATTAAATGTTACCTTCTCTAAAACGCCAAACTGTTTTTAATTACTAGAAGTCATGATAGTGACTATACATTATTTATTAGTGCTATTACGTACTTTAACAATAATTTTTATTTATTTATTACTTACAATGTTTTTTTTTTATTTATTTTCGTCATAAATCTTTCAAGAACTTAAGGTTTTCTGTGAAAGTTCAGGTAATACGAAATAACGAAACCGTACCCGGATAACTAGGAAGAAAAAAAAAATCATCAACTATAGAAATTAATAGGCAATCGAAATAAATTACCTATTGTAAAAAATACTTCAAATTAACATTGATTCTTATCTTTAAATATTTTTTTCAACAGCATTTAGAGATACGAATTATAAGATATAACGCCTCTTTTTCTTGGGTTACAATGTAAATTTGTGTGCATTATATAAAGTATAAAATTTTAAATCTAATTCCAAAATATTTCTAATAGCAAATGTTTATACTTTGAGAATGAATACCTTAAGCTTTATAAATAAAAAAAAAATATGAATTCATTTTTTAAAATTTAATTTCGCATTTCCAGTCTAAGCTTTCTATTCTTTGTATGTTGTATAATATTTTTATGCACTAAATAGATAATATTTACTATTGTTTAATAATAATTAGAGGCGTAAGTTATAAAATATCAAGATTTTTTCTGGTTATCGAAAATAAACTTATGCGTAATTTTTCGAGTGGAAAATATTAAAACTAATTCTAAAATGTTTTTTTATAATATATTATGAATGTTTAACTATACTTTAAGAGCCACTAGCCTCAAGCTTACTTAAAAAAAGAAAAAAAAAATTATTTCTTAACCTATTCTTTCTTTACGTTTCTTTCTCTTTCGAACTTACTATTTCTAGCTCTTGTTCCACATTATTAGTTATAATAAATTAATAGAATTTCATAACTAATAGTTAATAGGTTTAGCGGATATTGATGGTATTTAATATTGAAAAAAAAAATAAAACAGAGAGCTATTTTAGAAAATAATGATTGTCGTATTAAAAGCAGGTACTAAGGTCATGAAGGTGACATGTCAAGATATGAATGGCGTATCCCTAATTTTTTTTTCTCTTGACACTTTGCCCCTTTGTCCACTAAAAGTTTTAAATTTGCTTGATACTTAATATTCTAACAGAGAACATGTTGAAATAGTTTATTTCCATGTCGATAATTTCAGTCACATCATTAGAGGTATAATAAATCCTATGCAATATAGATATGTATGAATTTTCTTTTTACTACACAAAAATCTATACTCAGAACCAATCAGATGAAGTATAACTACAAACGAGTGAAAGTAAAATCCAGACGCATTAGCAATCAATCAGATTCTTCTAAATCGATGTAATTATTAGGATTACGGGAATTCGCTTTTATTTCTCTTCAATTAAGAAGTAACAGGATCTTAAAAAGAAAGAAAAATAATTGTTCTCGCATCCTTTATGTGCTCCAGGCAAGAAACTCTAAAGAGTATATCCTGGTTGGATGCGAGTCTCAAGTTAATAAAGGGAAGACGCGGATCATTTTCACTCTGTCGATGAACATATCATTAAACTCATTACTTTGTCTTCACTGTCCTAAGGTATGGTATGTGGTAATTACTGGAAACAAGGATGTCAAGGCGTTGTAGGCGGAGTAAATTCCTGTAACGGAGCAATCAGGCTCCGTTGGATGCATCTATTGCGATCCAATAAGGGTGAGGGATCTTCCTGGAGGAGTTCCCATGGCAACGTGACGTCATCTCTTGGTATTTGGGTGCGCCACGTGGGAAAAAAGTGTGAATCGTGAGAAGGATGTCCGTTAGTCATAACAGGTGGAGAAATTTTTGGAATTATAGTTGTTATAATTTGTTTATTTATTTATTTTTTTTATCGTTATTGAAAGTTGGAATGTTATCAGGAAGAAAAAAAATTAAGCAACCAATTATCGTGTTATCAGAATTTTTTTTAAAAAACAATTTCGTCTCGTGTTTTATAGTTTTTTTCTTCAATTTTGTATTATTCAGATTGTGCAAAATGCATCTTGAAAACATATTTTACCAATAATAACATAAAATTTTTAAAATACAGCTTTTCTATTCATTACTCGAGCACACAAGAAAAATTATTACTAGTTAAAAAATATTTATTACTATTATTATTGCAGCTATTCAGGGGAAAAGATTTTTTAGATTTAAAAAAATATGGGGTTAAGAATTATTTGCATTTCTAGTAAAAAAACTTAAAATTTCAAATCTTAAATATTTCCACATCCTTCCTGGAATCAAACAATATAACAGCGTACGCAATCTAAAATTTGTAATAAGGATTGTCATCGATCATCAATGGTCAATGTCTCAATGGTCATCGATGCAAATTTATGAATACTAAAACTATAAGTATGCACATCTTTTTTATTATCTAAGTTTAAAATCTTAAACCACTTTTCATTTTTTAAGTGAAGAACTGTAGAAACTGTTCTTAAATAATAAGTTACATAACTAAGTACAAAACTCAAAAATATTCTGAAAAATTGAAAATGTAATAAATTCAGCTTTCCAGTAGCTCCTTTTATATTAAAAAATGTAAAACTTCTGTGAATCAAAAAAAGAACACNTTGGATGCGAGTCTCAAGTTAATAAAGGGAAGACGCGGATCATTTTCACTCTGTCGATGAACATATCATTAAACTCATTACTTTGTCTTCACTGTCCTAAGGTATGGTATGTGGTAATTACTGGAAACAAGGATGTCAAGGCGTTGTAGGCGGAGTAAATTCCTGTAACGGAGCAATCAGGCTCCGTTGGATGCATCTATTGCGATCCAATAAGGATAAGGGATCTTCCTGGAGGAGTTCCCATGGCAACGTGACGTCATCTCTTGGTATTTGGGTGCGCCACGTGGGAAAAAAGTGTGAATCGTGAGAAGGATGTCCGTTAGTCATAACAGGTGGAGAAATTTTTGGAATTATAGTTGTTATAGTTTGTTTATTTATTTATTTTTATTATTATTGAGAGTTGGAATGCAATCAGGAAAAAAAAAAGATTAATGCAACCAATTAGTGTTTTCAGAAAAATTTTTGAAAAACAATTTGGTCTTGTGTTTCATAGTTTTTATTTTTTTTTTTTTTTTCAATTTTACAGTATTCAGATTGTGCAAAAAGCATCTTGAAAACAAACTTTACCAACAATAACACACATTTTTTAAAATGAAACCTATCAATTCATTACTCGAGCACATAAAAAAAATTATTACTAGTTAAAAATATTTATTATTATTGCAATTATTCAAGGGAAAAGATTTTTTAGAATTAAAAAATATGGGATTAAGAACTATTCGCATTTCTAGTAAAAAAACTTAAAAATTCCGAATCTTAGATATTTCCATATTCCTTCTGGCATCAAACGATTACGTGAAAAATTTCAAAACAATTCTTATTTTTATGAATAGATCAGTTTACTTATAACACTCTCTGGAATGACAAAATGGATATTTCTGATTAAAAGATATCAATTCGTAAATCAAATATCCTTCTCTGTCTTCACTATATCGAAAAGTTAACCCAATTTTGTCAAATAAATAAGATTAAAATAAATAAAAAAAATTGTAAACAACGCTTTGGTTCGGCTCTTTCCGTTTACACGGCAAGCAAAATTCTGACGTCATAAGCAATCCTCGTTTCGTTTTAAATCACGCGAAGTTAGTTTCGTTTGTAGCTAATTTTAAGTTATAATTTAAAAAAATTCCAGTCAATTTTGAAGATGCTGAGCTGATTTTTGAGACTTTTAAGTGATAGACTATTTAAAATAATCAATGTTACCCGATTACCCACCAGGTTCCTTATGTCCTCGCTTGCTTCCCGCCTCAAATATACCAATGTATTTTTTTTTTTACTCATGTCCGAAAACGAAATTTGACGCAGTCTATAATAGGATTCATGAAAATAATTCAGTTTGG